TGAGACAATACGCATCCTATGAGTATGTGCAGAGGCTGCTCAAAGGATACCTGAAGGTTGGATATTGTTTTTTTTCACCCCAACATCAAATCCAAACTTTTTAACCAGCATTAATATGCTAACCTGCTCTTTTTCTCACTAGATCAACATGTTGGTGATTGAGCTGAAATCAGAGGCACTCAAAGATCGCCACTGGAAGCAGCTGATGAAGCGTCTGCATGTGAACTGGGTCCTGTCTGAGCTGACCCTGGGACAGATCTGGGACGTGGATCTTCAGAAGAATGAAATGGTGGTAAAGGATGTCCTCCTGGTCGCCCAAGGAGAGATGGCTCTGGAGGAATTCCTCAAACAGGTGAGTTGATGCAGTCAAGTTTCAACTCTTAAGGTGACATCATTAGTAAAAGATCATTGTTGTTGTTTGTTTGTTTGTTTTTTAAAAAGCTGATTATTTGTTTGGTGTTTTTCAGATCCGTGAAGTGTGGAACTCGTATGAGCTGGACCTGGTCAACTATCAGAACAAGTGCCGTCTGATCAGAGGATGGGATGACCTCTTCAACAAGGTCAAAGAACACATCAACAGTGTGTCCGCCATGAAGCTTTCTCCCTACTACAAGGTACAAAATTAACCGGCTTTGGGCTTTTTTCAATACATCTCATTATTTTGTGTAATAATTATATTTTTAATTTTCTAAAAAGGTCTTTGAGGAGGATGCACTCAGCTGGGAGGACAAGCTAAATCGCATCATGGCCTTGTTTGATGTCTGGATTGATGTCCAGCGTCGCTGGGTTTACCTGGAGGGTATCTTCACTGGCAGTGCTGACATCAAGCATCTGCTGCCAGTGGAAACCCAGAGGTTCCAGAGGTAAATGTAGTCATTTCTCATGAATATATGGATAATTGATTAGTTCTTTTTATTAATGTGTGATATTGTCTTTATTCTGTAGCATCAGCACAGAGTTCCTGGCTCTGATGAAGAAAGTGACAAAGTCTCCTCTGGTGATGGATGTGCTGAACATTCAGGGAGTACAGAGGTCTCTGGAGCGTCTGGCCGACCTTTTGGGAAAAATCCAGAAGGCTCTGGGAGAATATCTGGAGAGAGAAAGATCCTCTTTCCCAAGGTATGACTGTGGCAAACTTATTAAAGAATAATTTGGATTTTGCTCATTATCACATTATTTGTTGTTTAAAATTCTCAGGTTCTATTTCGTGGGAGACGAAGACTTGCTGGAAATCATCGGCAACAGCAAGAATGTGGCCAAACTGCAGAAGCACTTCAAGAAAATGTTCGCTGGCGTCTCCAGCATCCTCCTGAACGAGGACAACACCGAGGTGCTGGGAATCTCTTCCAGGGAGGGTGAGGAGATTATGTACAAGACACCAGTCTCCATCACAAAGCACCCCAAGATCAACGAGTGGCTGACGCTGGTGGAGAAAGAGATGAGGGTGACATTGGCCAAGCTGCTGGCTGAGTCTGTCACAGAGGTGACGGCTTTCAACAAGGGCGCAGCCATCGACTTGACCCAGTACATTGACTGGATCGATCGATACCAGGTCAGTGCTGAAACCAAGTCCCTGATAAATAATTATTTAGTTACATAAATGATTAACTCTAATAATTAAATATAATCTGAGGCAACATGTTTAAAATGTTCTCCATCTTCTTTTCATTAGGCCCAGCTGGTGGTGCTTTCTACCCAGATTGCCTGGTCTGAGAACATCGAAACTGCTCTCACCACCATCAGTGGAGGTGGGGACATGTCACCCATGCATGACGTGCTGTCCATTGTGGAAGCCACTCTCAATGTGTTGGCAGACACTGTGCTGATGGAGCAGCCTCCACTCCGCAGGAGGAAACTGGAGCATCTAGTCTGTTTTATTTATTTATTATTTAACTTGACAGATAACTCATCTTTTAGAACCTTATCCCACTAAAATCTTTATCCTGTTGTCATTTAGATTACTGAAATGGTGCATCAGCGTGACGTGACCAGGACTTTGATCAAAAACAAGATCGACAACCCCAAGTCCTTCGATTGGCTCAGCCAGATGCGCTTCTACTTTGACCCCAAGCAGACGGACGTCCTTCAGCAGCTGTCCATCCAGATGGCCAATGCCAAGTTCAACTATGGCTTCGAGTACCTGGGTGTCCAGGACAAGCTTGTCCAGACACCACTGACAGACCGATGCTACTTGACCATGACCCAAGCCCTGGAGGCTCGCCTTGGAGGATCACCATTTGGTATAAAAAATATTACATTTATACAGTGAGGATTAGGAAGATGGTGATTTTGTTTAAGACAAGTGCATTTAAACTTTTTTTTTTTTAGGCCCCGCTGGTACTGGCAAGACAGAGTCTGTGAAAGCCCTCGGTCATCAACTTGGCCGCTTTGTCCTGGTCTTCAACTGTGACGAGACGTTTGACTTCCAGGTATTTTTTGGTTTTAAGGAATATTTTTTTAGCCAGTTTTAAAAGTGTAAAGATATTTGTGGTTTAACTTACCCGCTGTATTGATCTTCTCCTCAGGCCATGGGTCGGATCTTCGTGGGTCTTTGTCAGGTGGGAGCCTGGGGCTGCTTTGACGAGTTCAACCGACTGGAGGAGAGGATGCTGTCTGCTGTCTCACAGCAGGTCCAGTACATCCAGGTGGCTTTGAGGGAACACATCAACCCCAACAGAGACAGGAGTAAGAATTATATGAATTATATAAACAGAAGAATTTTAAATGTCTGCACAAGAGCAGTCAGATCTACATTAGAACTTCAGTTTACATTGATTGTACCTGTCTGTATTTCAGGTGTGCCTGTGACTACTGAGCTCCTAAACAAGCAGGTGAAGGTCAGCCCAGACATGGCCATCTTCATCACCATGAACCCTGGCTATGCCGGCCGCTCCAACCTGCCTGACAATCTGAAGAAACTCTTCCGCAGTTTGGCCATGACTAAGCCAGACCGCCAGCTGATTGCACAGGTCATGCTCTACTCTCAAGGTTTCCGCACTGCGGAAATCTTGGCCAAGAAGATTGTGCCCTTCTTCAAGTATGTAATTTTGTTGTTGTTGTTGGCCTGTGTTGTTAAAAAAAGGGGAGGGGGGTTCAGATGATTTTAGAAGTAAGTTTTTTTTTTTTTGTTTTTTTTGTTTTCTTTTTTTAGGCTCTGTGATGAACAGCTGTCATCTCAGAGTCACTACGACTTTGGTCTGCGAGCCCTGAAGAGTGTGCTGATCAGTGCAGGCAATGTCAAGCGTGAACGCATTCAGAAAATCAAAAGGGAGAAGCTGGAGCGTGGAGAGATCGTTGATGAGAATGACATAGCTGAGAACCTTCCTGAACAGGAGGTATTGCACATTCATTCATTTGGGCCTTAAGTTACAGAAAAAATGTATAGTGTTTGAGTGGATCACTACACAATGTCCTATTTACTTCAGATCCTGATCCAGAGTGTTTGCGAGACCATGGTTCCCAAGCTGGTGGCCGAGGACATCCCTCTGCTTTTCAGCCTGCTGTCAGATGTCTTCCCTGGAGTCCAGTACCACAGAGGAGAGATGACCGCTCTGAGAGAGGAACTGAAGAAAGTCTGCACAGAGATGTACCTCACCTATGGAGATGGTGACGATGTGGGCAGCATGTGGGTGGAGAAGGTCTGTAGCAGGATTGTCTCTATATATTATTCACTGCAAAAATAGTTGTTTTTTTCTTTTCTTCTAATTTTGGTCACTTGCTTTTTTTTCCAGGTGCTCCAACTTTACCAGATCACACAGATCAACCATGGTCTGATGATGGTGGGACCTTCAGGCAGTGGGAAAACAATGGCATGGAGAGTCCTGCTCAAGGCCCTGGAGAGGCTAGAAGGCGTGGAGGGCGTGGCCTACATCATCGACCCTAAGGCCATTAGCAAAGACCACTTGTATGGAACTCTGGATCCAAACACTCGTGAATGGACTGATGGACTGTTCACACACGTTCTCAGGAAGTGAGTTTGTAAAAGCACAAATGGTGAAATTAATCTTATTGAGTTTGAGTGATTTATTCTTTTTTGGTTGACTTTTTTCTAATCCAGGATCATCGACAATGTTCGTGGTGAACTCCAGAAGCGTCAGTGGATTATCTTTGATGGAGATGTGGATCCAGAGTGGGTTGAAAATCTCAACTCAGTCCTTGATGACAATAAGCTGCTCACTCTGCCAAATGGAGAGCGTCTCAGCTTACCACCAAATGTAAAAAAACAAAACAATGAATAGCACTGTGAGACACACGCATTGAAAACATCATATTATATTAACCTCATATTTTTCTTCCTTTCTCAGGTGCGTGTGATGTTTGAAGTACAGGACCTCAAATACGCCACTCTGGCCACTGTGTCTCGCTGCGGTATGGTCTGGTTCAGCGAGGATGTCCTAAGCACTGACATGGTCTTCAACAACTTCCTGGCTCGCATTCGCAGCATCCCGCTGGACGAGGGTGAGGACGAAGCTCAGCGCATGAGGAAAGGAACAGAGGATGAGGAAGAGTCTGCATCCCCAATGTTACAGGTATTTATATATATATTTCTTTTTTCAAATCCAAGAAAAAAAAGAAAACTCCTGTCATTTCCTCACTGATATCCTGATGTGTGTTTTTACACTAGATCCAGCGTGATGTTGCAGTTATTCTGCAGCCCTACTTCACATCCACTGGCCTGGTCATCAAGGCCCTGGAACATGCATCCAAGATGGAGCACATCATGGACTTCACTCGCCTGCGCTGCATGGGTTCTCTGTTCTCGATGTTGCACCAGGCCTGTCGTAACGTGGCTCTGTACAACAACAACCACCCTGACTTCCCAATGCCCATTGATCAGCTGGAGAGATACATGCAGGTAATGTTGCCTCTTCTGCTGTTGGTTTAAAAAAAAGTGGCATCTTTGTTTAACTTACTGATTTGTTCCGATGCGATCTTCCTACAGCGGTATCTCATCTATGCCGTGCTGTGGTCCTTCTCTGGTGATGGTAGGCTGAAGATGAGGGCGGAGCTCGGTGAATACATCCGTCGCATCACCACTGTGCCTCTGCCCACGGCTCCCAATGTTCCCATCATTGACTATGAGGTAAAGTCCATTTCTTATGTGTTGAAGTTGTATCTGAAAAATATTTTTTTTCAAAATAACAACAATTTGTTTTTTTTTTATTTAAGGTGTGCATCTCAGGTGAATGGCAGTCCTGGCAGGTCAAAGTGCCTCAGATTGAGGTGGAGACCCACAAAGTTGCATCCCCAGATGTTGTGGTTCCCACCCTGGACACTGTTCGTCATGAAGCTTTGCTTTACACATGGCTAGCAGAACACAAACCACTGGTACTGTGTGGTCCTCCTGGATCAGGAAAGACCATGACCCTGTTCAGTGCACTCAGAGCCCTGCCAGATATGGAGGTAAAAGCACAGAAAATCAGAAAAAATTATTACACTTTTATTTATTTTTTTATCTTTATCTTGAAGTTATTGAAACTGGTGTGAAAAATAATTGCAAAACAATTTTTTCTCACATCTCTACAGGTTGTTGGTCTGAACTTCTCCAGTGCCACTACCCCAGAGCTGCTACTCAAGACCTTTGACCACTACTGTGAGTACCGTCGTACCCCCAACGGTGTGGTCCTCGCCCCCGTCCAGCTGGGCAAGTGGCTGGTGTTGTTCTGTGATGAGATCAATCTGCCAGACATGGACAAATACGGCACACAGAGAGTCATCTCTTTCCTCAGACAGGTGGGATGTTTTCCCCTGACAGTAGTAGATTAATATAGAAATGTCCAATCTGATGGTTGGTGTTTAAGAATGTCTTCCTTTGTTGTGTTTCTCTGCAGATGGTTGAACATGGAGGTTTCTATCGTACTGCAGACCAGACTTGGGTGAAACTGGAGAGGATCCAGTTTGTTGGTGCCTGTAATCCCCCTACTGATCCAGGCAGAAAACCTCTTTCCCACAGGTAGAGAGAACCCTGTAAACAAATGGTAGTAATTTTAAAATGGTCCAACACTGACTGCAGATGCAGCAAATTAAAATCAAATGTGGCCCTGACTATACTGTATGTGCTGTTATTTCAAGGTTCCTGCGCCACATTCCTGTCGTGTATGTAGACTATCCTGGTCCTGCTTCACTCACCCAGATCTATGGAACCTTCAACCGGGCCATGCTGCGTCTCATTCCTTTACTGCGAACTTACGCCGATCCTCTTACTGCAGCTATGGTGGAGTTCTACACTATGTCCCAGGTAAATAGAACCAGAATAGAATAGAAATAGTTTAATGCCCACATATTATAACAGATACAATTATCATATTTACTGCACAGTAAGGTTGGTCCTGTGACATGTATATCAAAAACAAATCTAGCCAGTGTGTTTAAACGTTCTTTCATCAATCCATTAGGAGCGATTCACTCAGGACATCCAGCCCCACTACATCTACTCTCCCAGAGAGATGACTCGTTGGGTGAGAGGAATCTTTGAGGCCCTGCGGCCTCTGGAAACTCTGCCTGTCGAGGGGCTCATTCGCATCTGGGCCCATGAGGCTCTCCGTCTCTTCCAGGACAGGTGAGTTGTTGTTGGTTGTTAGTCAGGGATGTGAATGGCAGGCTGTTACTGGGCAGATGTTGTGGATACTGAGCATACAGTGATGGCTGTTTTTTTCCAGGCTGGTTGGTGACGATGAGAGAAGGTGGACAGATGAAAACATCGACATGGTTGCACTGAAACACTTCCCCAACATCGACAAGGACAAGGCTCTCAACAGGCCCATCCTCTACAGCAACTGGCTCTCCAAGGTCAAATAGAGACATGTGTCCACTGCTGGATTTTCTAAGGTTTTAATTAATCAAATTTGCTTTTTAACAGTTTTAATTTTGCCGTGTTTGCAGGACTACATCCCAGTAGAACAGGAGGAGCTGAGGGACTACGTGAAGGCCCGTCTGAAGGTCTTCTATGAAGAAGAGCTGGACGTTCCTCTGGTGCTCTTCAATGAAGTGCTGGACCATGTCCTCAGGATTGACCGGTGCGTGAGAGTCATGTTTTGCTTGACTTGTTAATATTACCATGTTTTGTGACCATGTTTTTAAATGGTACTTTTGTTTCTCCCCAGAATCTTCCGTCAGCCTCAGGGACATCTCCTGTTGATTGGTGTGAGCGGAGCTGGAAAGACTACACTGTCTCGTTTTGTGGCCTGGATGAATGGTCTCAGTGTTTACCAGATTAAGGTTAGTTAAATAAATGTGATATTATTTATACTCAGTTATGTACATCAATATTTGTTTATTCACACATGTGTGTGACTTTAGGTACATAGAAAATACACTGGCGAGGACTTTGATGAAGACCTGCGTACGGTGCTGCGTCGCTCAGGTTGCAAAAATGAGAAGATTGCCTTCATTATGGATGAGTCCAACGTGCTGGATTCTGGCTTCCTGGAAAGAATGAACACACTGCTGGCTAATGGAGAGGTAACACTGCAATCAAGGTGTAGCCCGGACTATTTCAGTTGGTTGCATGTGTGTTCTAAATATAAAAATGTTCCTCCACTACCATTTGTAGGTTCCTGGCCTGTTTGAGGGAGATGAATATGCCACCCTCATGACCCAGTGTAAGGAAGGGGCCCAGAAAGAGGGCCTGATGCTGGACACGCATGAAGAGCTGTACAAGTGGTTCACAAGTCAGGTCATCAGAAACCTCCATGTGGTTTTCACCATGAACCCATCGTCTGAAGGCCTGAAGGACAGAGCTGCCACCTCTCCTGCCCTCTTCAACAGGTACAGTGACGTTAACCCTCACAGCAGCAGAGTAATGTTAAAAAGCATTTAACTTCAGTGCTAAACAATGACATGTGCTCTGTTCCAGGTGTGTGCTGAACTGGTTTGGAGACTGGTCCACAGAAGCTCTTTACCAGGTGGGTAAGGAATTTACAAGCAAGATGGATCTGGAGAAACCCAACTACAAGGTGCCAGACTACATGCCCATTGTCTACGACAAACTGCCCCAGCCACCGTCTCATCGTGAGGCTATTGTCAATGGCTGTGTGTTTGTACATCAGACACTCCATCAGGTGAGAATATTGGCATACTGAAATATTGATCCTTGATCAAAACTGATGTGTTTACAGATAAGTTTAGACTTACCTAAAATACTTGTTTTGAAATTGATGACAGGCCAACAACCGTCTGGCCAAGCGTGGCGGTCACACCATGGCCATCACACCTCGTCACTACCTGGACTTCATCAACCAGTACGCCAACCTGTTCAATGAGAAGCGTAGTGAGTTGGAGGAGCAACAGATGCATCTCAACGTTGGTCTCCGCAAGATCAAGGAGACTGTAGATCAGGTAAAAATAAAATGTATTTCACCAATTCTTTCATGAAGTAAACTTTAAACTCCAACCAGGATTAACCTACTCCTGTACATTTACCTCCTTAAGGTGGAGGAGCTGCGCCGTGACTTGAGAATCAAGAGCCAAGAGTTGGAGGCAAAGAACGCTGCTGCCAACGACAAGCTGAAGAAGATGGTCAAAGACCAGCAGGAGGCTGAAAAGAAGAAGGTACGGTGAAGGGAACAGGTAGCTTTGTTTGTAAATGTTGAATTTTTTACTTAGTTTCTTTACATTGTGATTCCAGGTGATGAGCCAGGAGATCCAGGAAGCTGTGTACAAGCAGCAGGAGGTGATCAAGGACAAACAGCTGAGTGTGAAAGAGGACCTGGACCAGGTGGAGCCTGCTGTCATTGAGGCTCAGAATGGTACAGTTTTCAGAATGTCAATATTTCTAATGTTATAGTCCATAAACGTATCACATCATACAGTTGAAGTGCTAAACACATCCATTGTCTCTCCTAGAGTTAAAAGAAAATCCTAGCAGAAACACTGACTTTAATTCAATTGGCTTATTTTACAAAAGCTATGTACTGATTATTATACTATAGTAGTTGAGAGTAGGTCTTTCTTTTCATCTCTGAAATAGTTTGTTTCCAATAACAACCTGTGTAATGTTGACAACAAGTCAGCTGGATTTCTGTGTAATGGTATGACCTCTGCTGGCACCCTCCTCCCATCACTGCCCTTTTCCTCATCATGTTCACTTGGTTGCTGTTAGCTGTTAAGTCCATTAAGAAGCAGCACCTGGTGGAGGTGCGATCCATGGCCAATCCACCCGCAGCAGTGAAGCTGGCCCTGGAGTCCATCTGCCTGCTCCTGGGAGAGAGTACAACTGACTGGAAGCAAATCCGATCAATCATCATGAGGGAGAACTTCATCCCCACCATTGTTAACTTCTCTGCTGAAGAGATCAGGTGAAATAAGAGAAAATGTACTGTCTAACCTGTGCATTAAATAGACCCCTCTCTTTCTTTGTCCCCTATTTTCTGCCCACTCCCTCCTCTTTTTCATCCCACTGTGGCACTGAACTAGCGGTGAGTTCTATTAAGCGGCAGCACCTAGTAGAAGTGCGGGCCATGACCAATCCTCCAGCTGCAGTCAAACTGGCCCTGGAGTCTATCTGCCTAATGCTGGGCGAGGAGACCAATGACTGGAAAAAAATCAGACAAGTTATTATCAGGGACAATTTCATCAGCAACATAGTCAACTATTCCTATGAAGAGATGAGGTACCGCTGTCGACATGTCTGCAAAGTCTTGGCACAGATAATCACTTCATTGATCATTTAGCACATTGATGTGATTTTTAAAAAAAAATTTTATTTTATGTTTGTGGAAGAAGATCACATTCATTTCTGTATAATCAGAGTATTTACCAGTCACTGAAATGATTTTTTTTTGTTAAATTAAATGTTTTAGAGCAAAGCATTGTGTGAGATTCTACCTCACTCAAATCAACCCAAAATAAATGACAAAATTGAAACAGCATTTTTCACTTTCACCAATTTCTCTAACAGGGATGCATTAATCTGATATTAGTAGCAAATACATTTTCCGATAACGACTATCGGCCTTCCATCTCAGCCAGAGTGTATTAAGTTTAGAAATACAACAATAATGGATAAATTTTGGATATGGACCATTAGGTAAATCTCAGTATCAGTTGTGGAACTGAAAACATCAGATTGGTGCGTCCCGGTTACTTTTAGTGCCATAAGTTCAATTCAGTTTTATTTTAACATATAGTGTCATTTTTACCTGATCCAGTGACTCCATCCGTGAGAAGATGAAGAAGAACTATCTCTCCAACCCCGGTTACAACTACGAACAAATCAACAGGGCCTCACTGGCCTGTGGGCCTATGGTCAAATGGGCCATTGCTCAAGTAAGAAATCAAACTGTATATTAAAATGAAGAACATGACTGGAAGAGGACTGTCTTCCCTTTAAACACACACTACACGTCTTCCTCTTCCAGCTCAACTATGCCGACATGCTGAAGCGTGTGGAGCCTCTGCGTAACGAGCTGCAGAAGCTGGAGGATGATGCCACAGACAACAAGACAAAGGCAGAGGAGGTGGAGCACATGATCAGAGAACTGGAGGCTAGCATCGCCCGGTACAAGGAGGAGTACGCTGTCCTCATCTCCGAGGCCCAGGCCATCAAGGCCGACTTGGCTGCAGTTGAAGCTAAGGTAACCATTCTTTGAAGGACGGCATTTCTCAAACCTTTAATTCCAATTTCTCCCACTTAAAAAATGAACTTGTCTTCTCTCAGGTGAATCGCAGCACAGCTCTGCTCAAGAGTCTCTCAGCTGAGAGGGAACGCTGGGAGAAGACCAGTGAGACCTTCAAAAACCAGATGTCCACCATCGCCGGAGACTGTTTGCTCTCTTCTGCATTTATTTCCTACGCTGGCTACTTTGACCAACAGATGAGACAGAACCTGTTCACCACTTGGTCTCACCACCTGCAACAGGCCAATATTCAAGTATGCAAAGCTGACATGGAGAAAGCCAGAGCTGCTTACATTCTTGTCTTTTAAAGATTCACGTGGTTCACGTTTGATCAATTCTATTTGTCCTGAATTTCTCCCACAGTTCCGTACAGACATTGCCAGGACTGAATATCTGTCCAATGCTGACGAGAGGCTGCGCTGGCAGGCCAACTCCTTACCAGCGGATGACCTTTGCACTGAGAACGCCATCATGCTCAAGAGGTTCAACAGGTTAGTATCATTGTTTTGGTTTTTTTTTTTTGGCCAGTAAGAGAACAATTTATCTGATGATACACATCATCGTCCTATTCAGGTACCCACTCATCATTGACCCATCAGGCCAAGCTACTGAGTTCATCATGAATGAATACAAGGACCGCAAGATCACCAGAACTAGTTTCTTGGATGATGCCTTCAGGAAGAACTTGGAAAGTGCCTTGCGTTTTGGAAACCCCCTGCTGGTCCAGGTAAAAACTGTTGCTTCAAACTGTTATTTTATTATTACAATATTATTAATTTAACATTGCTAGACTCTTGGCCCTTGAAATATTATTTTTAATCCATCTGTTTTGTCACATTTTCCTCCTCGTAGGATGTAGAAAGTTACGACCCTATCCTGAACCCAGTGCTGAACAGAGAGGTCCGCAGAACTGGAGGACGTGTCCTCATCACACTCGGAGACCAGGACATTGATCTGTCACCTTCATTTGTCATCTTCCTCTCCACTCGAGATCCAACTGTGAGTTTGTCCTTCAGTTATTTTTCATCAATAACAGCACATGAGAGCTATAGCAGCAGGTGCGTTAGCTTCATACTGTTCTAACCGATATGTCTCATCTCTGCAGGTGGAATTCCCTCCAGACTTGTGTTCTCGTGTCACGTTCGTCAACTTCACTGTGACTCGCAGCAGTTTGCAGAGCCAGTGTCTCAACGAGGTCCTAAAGGCTGAGAGACCGGACGTTGATGAGAAACGCTCTGATCTGCTTAAACTGCAAGGTGAGATGAAAATGCCAACGTTACGGGGTAGATCTATGGTCAAAGAAGTTGGGAAGAAATGTCCTTAATTTTGACTTTGGTGCTTTAAGGTGAGTTCCAGCTGCGTCTTCGTCAGCTGGAGAAATCTCTGCTGCAAGCCCTCAATGAGGTGAAGGGCCGGATCCTGGATGACGACACCATTATAACCACTCTGGAGAACCTGAAGAAGGAGGCAGCAGAGGTGACCAGGAAGGTGGAGGAGACCGATATCGTCATGGCGGAGGTGGAGGCTGTGTCACAGCAGTATCTGTCCCTGTCTTCTGCTTGCAGCAGCATCTACTTTACCATGGAATCTCTCAATCAGGTGTGGACACGACCTTGTGTCATTGTCCCTCAGAGATCTCCTGCCGTCTGTGATACAGTTGAGACTGACCTGCAGATGTTTCTGCTTGCTTTCAGATGCACTTCCTGTATCAGTACTCTCTCCACTTTTTCCTGGACACCTACCACACTGTGCTGTATGAAAACCCCAACCTCAAAGGCATCAGTGACCATTCCCAGAGACTGGCTGTCATCACCAAGGACCTCTTCCAGGTTTGAAACAAACATTTAAATAGGTAATTTTCTTCTGTGAGTGTGACTTAACATATGTTTTCTGCTTTCCTGAATGTAGGTGGTATTCAACAGGGTAGCCAGAGGAATGCTGCACCAGGACCACATTACATTTGCAATGCTATTGGCTAAGATCAGTCTGAAGGGCATGACCAGGTATTGTACAAAGTCTGATACCTTTTCAGTAATTTTCCACATTAAAACTCCAGTCTAATGTGTCAAAACTCACCTCCATCTCCAGCGAGCCGCCTTATGATGCAGAGTTCCAGCACTTCCTGCGTGGCAAAGAGGTTGTTCTAACAGGAACAGCATTACCAAAGGTCAAGGGTCTGACCTCTGACCAGTGTGAGGCCATGGTCCGTCTCAACCGCCTGTCAGCCTTCAAAGACTTGGTGGCCAAGGTGGAGGCTGATGATGTAGGTGCAACTACGTACTGTTCATTGACTTCCAAGGGTGTTTTGTCTGAATTACTGCTAATTTTATTCTTGTTTGCCATTCGATGCTCAGCAATTCTTCATGTGGATTGAAAGCAACACTCCAGAGCTGGCTGTTCCTTATCTGTGGTCGGAAGAGAAACAGTCCAGTAAGTGAAAGGGGCCTTGAATTGATGATATTTTCAGAACATGAATGTATTGTACTGAATACTTTCCTGATGTCGTTTTCTACTCAGCTACCATTGGCCAGGCAGTTCACCAGCTGTTGCTGATTCAGGCCTTCCGGCTTGACCGCCTGTTGGCCATGTCACACATTTTTGTTGCAAAGGTGTTGGGAGAGACCTTCATGAACATCATTGAGCAGCCTCTTGATCTGGCCAATATTGTGGACAGTGAGGTAAGGTTGAATGTAGTTGTCAGTCAGGAGGCTGTGCTCTTGTTCAGAAACTGGGGTTTTTTTTTGTTTTGTTTTTTTTTTAATTGCTGATGCTACTGCTGCTGCTCTTGTCTCCAGGTGAAGCCCAGCACACCAGTACTAATGTGCTCCGTGCCTGGTTATGATGCCAGCGGACTTGTCAGAGATCTGGCTGCTGAACAGAACAAACAGATCACTTCTATTTCCATTGGTAAAAAAAACAAAAATGATTTTTTTTTTTTTTAATGGTGTTAAAAAATCTGCTCTTTAACCTAAGATTTGTTGTTTTTCAAACAGGTTCAGCTGAGGGTTTCAACAAAGCTGACAGAGACATCAACACAGCTGTCAAGTCTGGCAGGTGAGTACTGTTATAAATAATATGTAAATAATAAAATGTTTCATTTGTTTGGTTATTATTTTTATTAGGTGTCTCAAGCTGTGTGGCCCAACCACTGGCCACCTCTGGGGTCAAGTCATAATCAGTGTTTATTTTGACAGCCTTTTTTTTTTGCTAAATTGTAACTAAATCCCCAATTAAGTCAGTTCAGTTTAATTAATTTTGAAAATGTTCATTTAGAAAATGTTCAGTGAATAAAAAATTCCTTTCTGGCTTAAATACACTGTTTACAATCTTTATATTTTGGAAACATACAAAACTTTGTATATATAACTCTTTCTCTTGTCATATACCTACACATAAGTTCCTTTTAAGGAAGCCTCTTTAAATAATGCCAGTGATTGAATAAAAAGTAAACAAATATAACCACATATTTCATGTGAAGACATTATTTACTGTGTAAATTTCTTCATACCTTATTTGAAGAGTTTTTAGAGCCCTGATGTTGACTGCTCTAATCCTGCAGGTGGGTGATGTTGGAGAACGTCCATCTGGCCCCTGGCTGGCTGATGCAGCTGGAGAAGAAGCTTCATTCTATGCAGCCTCATGCCAGCTTCAGACTTTTCCTAACAATGGAGATCAACCCCAAGGTTAAAGACATCAATCAAAAGAACTGTTTCAACATTAATACAACAAACTTTTTGACCTCAATACCTGTTAAATTTTCACCTTCAATCCTATGTTCATCAATTGTCATCTATCGTTTTCCTTCTAGGTTCCTGTGAATCTGCTCCGCGCTGGTCGCATCTTCGTGTTTGAGCCTCCTCCTGGTGTCAAGGCCAACATGCTCAGGACCTTCAGTAGCATTCCTGTGGCCCGCATGTGCAAGGTTAACTGATAAGAATGCTAAAGATATATACACATTCCAGAAGTTTAAATGCATACAGGTGGCCTGATTTAATTCTGCGTGTTTCCTCAGGCTCCCAACGAGCGTGCTCGTCTCTACTTCCTGCTGGCCTGGTTCAATGCAGTCATCCAAGAACGTCTGCGTTACGCACCACTGGGATGGTCCAAGAAATACGAGTTTGGAGAGTCTGACCTCCGCTCAGCCTGCGATACCATAGATACCTGGTTGGATGACACCGCAAAGGTTCTAAGATTTACTTCAAATTAGTAACAGTTTGGAATTCATCACTAACCAATGAATTACTGAACCTAAAACCTCAATCCAAAACACAGGGTCGTCAGAACATCGCTCCAGACAAAATCCCCTGGGCAGCTCTGAAGACCCTCATGGCCCAGTCCATCTATGGCGGTCGCATTGACAACGAGTTTGATCAGCGTCTGCTCAACACTTTCCTGGACCGAATCTTCACCAAGAGAAGCTTTGACAGCGAGTTCAAACTGGCTCTGAAGGTTGACGGACACAAGGACATTAAGATGCCTGATGGCATTCGGTAAGTGGGGGGAGAGGGGAGGGTTCTTTCTTTCAGACCCAACACTAAAAGACTGGGTTTTAATCTAATTCCTTCTACTGCAGGCGTGAGGAGTTCATGCACTGGGTCGAGATGCTTCCTGACACTCAAACACCATCTTGGCTCGGGTTGCCTAGCAACGCTGAGAAGGTTCTTCTGACCACTCAGGGTGAGTGCTGGAAAAAATGGTCGTCACTTGAGCTCATCTGTGTAGATGTAGTTTGTCGCTTTAACAGCTCTCTGCCCAGAGTTCGGTGGTTTGTGCGTCCTCACCCTCCAGCAGCTGTATTTCACAGCCATCATGTTGCTCTGCTGAAGACAGAAAACCATCTTTCACATGGCTCCCATTCACTTTTTCCTTTGTCCTTACTCCCATTCCTTCCAAACCTGAGAGTTTGCATGTGTTTCAATCATTTTTATGGTTTCAGTAAAAAAATGTTTATTATTGCGTTAGTATTTTGGCTACATTTGAGTGTAAATGCCATCTCAATCCCTGTTTTTGTATCCCTCCCTGTGTTTTTTTTTTTTTTCTCTGCCTGACAGTTTGTTAAAAACATGTTTTTATTCATATATTTTTACTCAAGGCAATTTTGTATTTCCTTGTTTCCCAATTAATTTCTTTTCCTCCTCCCTTGGCCTTGCTTTCCCCACGGCCTACCTTACTCCCGGCTCACTCGCTCCCTCTGCTGGCCTGCACAGGCACTGACATGATGGGTAAGATGCTGAAAATGCAGATGTTGGAGGATGAGGACGACCTGGCTTATGAAACGGAGAAGAAGGAGAGAACCTCGTCCACATCGGATGCACAGCCAGCCTGGATGAGGACACTCCACACCACGGCCTTTAACTGGCTGCAGCTCATGCCGCAGACGGTCAACCCACTCAAACGCACAGTGGAAAACATCAAGGTAATGGAAGAAAACATAAGAGATGAGTTATCTTGAAACATTTTGGTTTCTTTTTTGGTGAGTTAAAAGTGACGATTAAAATGACGACTTACCTGTGTGTATGTAAAACTTTGTGACATTTTCTTTATCCAAACACGACCACCACAGGACCCACTCTTCAGGTTCTTTGAGCGTGAGGTAAAAATGGGTTGCAAGATGCTCCAGGAGGTTCATCAGAATCTGTCGGACGTCGTCCACGTGTGTGAGGGCAAGAAGAAGCAGACCAACTACCTACGCACGCTCATCAGTGACCTGGTCAAAGGTCAAACCCCAAGCTTTTCATTCACATTTATTCAATTTTACTTTGTCAGAAATGATGTAGACTAATGTCCTTTATGTCCAGTAATCAATGATGGTAAATGTCTGTTTCTGTAGGTATCCTCCCTCGCAGCTGGTGTCGCTACACTGTCCCAGCCTCCATGACTGTGATCCAGTGGGTGGCAGACTTCAGTGAGAGAATCAAACAGCTGCAGCAAATCTCACAGTCAGCAGCCAGTGGTGGTGCAAAGGAACTGAAGGTGTTTTGGTTTTTATGTTCATTAGTATATTTTGGGAATTATTTCCATCTGTTGGGGCTTCTAGCCATCCTGGAAAATTAACCTAGAAAATAAATGGTCATTACCTGTCAAGAAAAACTTAGAAAGAAAACATATACTAACTCAGTTAACTGAGCTGTATTTCTCTTTCCACTTACCCAGAACATCCACGTGTGTCTGGGCAGCCTGTTCGTACCAGAGGCCTACATCACTGCCACTCGTCAGTATGTGGCTCAGGCTAACAGCTGGTCTCTGGAGGAGCTCTGCCTTGAGGTCAACGTCACCAACGCCCAGGGAACTCCACTGGATGCATGCAGCTTTGGAATTAAGGGTAAAATAAGGAATACTTTAGACAGTGACGACTATGCTTCTCGCAGTACAATATAAATTGTAGGATTGGAGATGAGGTTAAATGTTGACTTTAAACCTTTGATTGTACGATGTTAGTGACTCCTGCTCACCAGTGTAACCTACTCTCACCTGTTGACTGCTGGGACTTGCTCCAGCTTCCTCTGCAACACCAGACAGGAATTGTTCTGTATTGTAAAAGAAAGTACTTGTAACTTCAGTTTGTCTCATGTTAAACCCACTCACCGTTCCTCCACAGGTCTGAAACTGCAGGGAGCCACCTGCACCAACAACAAGCTGTCTCTGTCCACGTCCATCTCCACTGAACTGCCCCTCACTCAGCTGCGCTGGTTCAAGGCCGACACTGAGAAGAGACACATGGTATGAACCTGAAGTCACAGCTTTCTTTGTGATAAACAATACATTTGTACTGAAAACAGAAAAACATATAAACTGTATCATATTTCAGGTGACTCTGCCAGTCTACCTGAACTTCACCAGGTCTGACCTCATCTTCACCGTGGACTTTGACATCGCCACCAAGGAAGATCCTCACAGCTTCTACGAGCGTGGCGTTGCTATTTTGTGCACAGAGTAAAAGAAACCAGTCATTCCTTTTGGACCAAAGGGTCTTAATTATGAAACCATGTGTTAATCTTTTACATTCATGACTTTATAACCACCATTAAAACATATATAGTGTGTAGCATGTAGCAGTACAAAAATATAGGCAAGATAACTTGTGGAGCAGTGACGTAACCATGCATAATGTTTATAGGAAAGTGACTTGAAAGGTTGAAGGAAAGTTGTATTGATGGTAAAATTAGGAAGGAATGAAATGTGGGGGGAAAGAAAAGTTGAAGAGAATCGTGTTTTTAGGAAAGAACATGTACGTTTTTAGACAAAATAAAGCCAACTGGAAGATGATGAATTACACTAATGACTTTTTCTTTGTTGTTGTTGGTTGACTTCCGGGTGAATATTTAAGTCATGGTATTTACCAAAGTGTCTAAATACCAGTATAAAACTTTTACGACAATCATGGTACCAAATACACTTTACATTTTCCCCCTCCCTTTAAAGCAGGGGTCTTCCAAGGTCCACAAAGCTGATGAAGTAAAAGGGCAGGGAATCCATACTTAATGCAATTGTATTTTATATTAACCTCTGTTACCCATATATAACAGTGTTGTTTCAATTCATTCACCACCACAATAATTGAACAATGCACACATTTATAGATTCGTGTTTTCTAAATTAAATGCAAATTATTTTAAAGATATCAAGACCTCTTAAATCCTCTGGACCTCCAGGGGGCACAGACCACTGTTAGGTCCTGTTCCTAAAATGCCACAATGTCAGAAATGTTATATTGTAACAGCTTTTGGATTTATAAAGGCCAAACAAACAGTCAGTTAAAGCACTCACTTTCATGTGATTGGTCAATATAGACAGCCAGCAGTAAAACTGATAGATGAATAAATAAATTCTGGTTATAAGTGCTGATGGTTCAGAAGAGACTGGTTTTGATCAAAATAAAAATCAACATATAAAAGTACAGTTGAGTTATGACATTATTACTAAAGACAAAAATACATATAAAAGGTGACAATTGGAATGAAAATTTCATCTTGCGATGGGAAGTTTAACTTTCTAAATTTTGAATTTAAATTTAGACGTCATGTTTTAATATTTTAGTTTACTCTTCAATGGAATGCAATGTTCCTTTGCGAGAAAATACAATTTATTATACAGTAATATAAACCTGATAAAAAAATACTGGCTCAGAGCTGTTGTAACCAATAACAATAAATGTTTTGTATTTCAGAGGCTAAATGACACTCGACTGAATGATGGGTATTTGTAATTATATTCTTATTTTATAAATTATATAAATATTCTCCAATAGAAGACTACCTCTTCATTTGACCAGTATTTTTGGTCTTGAATTATGGTTATATCATAACTGCCAACATGGGGACATTTCATAACCCAAAATTCAGAATAATTAACACCATTTGTGGCTGAGCTTCTTAATGAACTGAGGTAGAGAAAAGTGCATTTTTAACTATTTACATTACATATTTAAATTGACCCTAAACCATTAAAGAAACAGTTCTGGTTTTATTATGGTGGTTGTATGAAAAAATATGCTGAACCAATATCAGTGCTGGGGCCTGGAACACATTTGAAACCAACTCTCATTGAAAATAATGCTGCCAGCCAGGAATAAAGATACCTTTCAATGGAACTGCACCAATGTCCACAGACAGAATCAGAAGTTTAAGTTAACAGGAAACAGAAGCTACTGGTTTGATAAGTTTCTGTCAATTAAGGTCAATCAAAACAAAATATTTTCAAAATAATAGTACGAAGCGGGTTCTGCTGAGGCAGAAATCAATGACTTCTGTTTCATTATATATACAATAGATTTTCTCCAGGTTAATAGTGTGAAATGTTAATCCAGCACTAGGTGGGTATAAAAACCCATACAACCACCCATTTAAACCAGAGCTATTCCTTGTTTCTTTTTTTTTTTTTTTACAAATTCACCGTCATGTCTCCGTGTCACATGACGGTGTCTCCTGCCTCTTCATCCTCCATATTAATCACACACTGCCTCTTCCTTCGCCCCAGTTCTATCCCCTCAGCTCCAGGAATCACCAGCTTCCTCTTGGACAGAGACAAGAGGTCGCGGGGGCTGGGTGATCTTTCAGAGGAGCTATCCAGCAGCCAGGAGGCGTTTCGTCCCACGGGTGTGCAAGACGTAGTTCCGAGGAATCCTGAATCATCGAGTTGGGGCTGCATTTTAACAGTTTGCGCCTGTGCTGTCAGATCATCAGTGGTTCTTCCTGTCAGGTCTCCACATCCACCCTTGGAGGAGGTCGGAGTGTCCAGCTCACAGACCCACAGTTCACTCTCACTCCCACAGTTCATCTGGATGTCTTGAGGAAGTGGCTGCTCTGTGACAAGATCTCTCTGACTATTTTTCAACACCTCTCTGAACACAGAGGTAGTTGGGTGGTTCAGGGAAAACCTCCTGCTGCGGCCAAAAAACCGGCCTCCTCCACTTCCACCTCGTCCCTGCTCCTTCATTCTCCTGGTTACAGCAGCATTGCCAACTGACTCATCTGAATCCTCAGAACTGCCGTCATATGGGTCCAAACACTAAATGTATAAACACATAGAGTATACGTGTAAACCGTTGAGAGCAGTTTATAAAAAACACTCCTGAGGAACATACATATTATGAATATAAAGCTAAGAAAATGTTACACCGAATAAAAATGTTGTGTTAAAATTAAATTAAATTTCTTATCTTAATAATTTAGTCCTTAACTTTACATGGTTAAAAAAGAGGGTTAGGGTTAGTGAGGGGTTACCAATGAAGAACAGCCAGGCCTCACTGCAGGCCTCACTGCAGGCCTCTGGGCTGCCATCCGATGTAAGGTCCCACACTCTGGTGCACTGCTCACACAGCCCTGTTTAAAATGGGAATTCATTCATTTTCTGAGATATTATGGCCTTTAATTCCCCAACGAGAGCTGAGTTGGACTGTACTTACACTATATTAAACAGTTACAGGAACAGAAATGGAAATACATTGACATTTTCAATCAATTGACAAAGTAGAACAATACCATTGTGCTGGTGTCTGACCATCTGGGACTGGTCCCCGAGTCACTGTCAGTGCTGGACTCCACTTTACACATCTCCTGACAGAAAGCACAGGTCACTATAGTCCATACTAACAAAGTCAACATGAAACAGAGGGTAAATTAGATCAGTGATGATAAGATGGACAGGAACAGAGGATTTCTCTGGAAAGACTATGCACTTAACTTTTATAAAACCCATATTATATAACAAACTGTGTTAGTACAGCCAAGATTTTTACTTAAAAATAGAAACAGCAGACTGTATTAAACAGTAGACAACCTTTTCAAATTAACAGCACTAACTGATCTAACTCTGATGCATTAACTGCATAATTCTTAGTTGTACATTGTAATAGTTTCCATTTTGGCTCATGCTACTTTGCTTCAATTTTAGCTTCCTTTAGATTATATTTTGGCTAACTGTTTTCAGGTGTGTTTTTTCCACCTGTTTTAGCTTAGTTTTGCTGTATTAGGGCTCAGTGGACATTTTTGTCTACCTTTACTAATCCTTCAGCTATATAATAACCTTCAGTCACCATGAGGCTCAATTCCAATTGCCCATGTGTTTAACTGTGAGTTATCTCTAAAAGTGGCTGACAAAGTGTTACTCACTAATATATTCTTTAATATATGGGACACATTATTTGTTAGAATTACTTTTTTTTTGCATTTGAACATCTAATTTTTAAATAAAGTTTTTAATTATTAATGATTCTCACCATGTATTTGAAAGCAAGTTTGTCCACATTATTTGGTGTACGTCTTTCACAGCGACCTAAATTTCATAAAAAGAATTCAGATCATTACATATGTTGAATATTCTATTTAAAAAACATACATTTAAACCAAATGTATTTATTAAATATAATTAACATCAATTTTTTATGGAATGTACACTTATTTGAACTTTTAACGACAAACAGTGAAACTTACCTCCAAATGAGTGTTGTCTTCTCCTCCTACAGGCCATTAGATTTGCGTGTATTTAACTTTCGCACGTTGAAATATTTAAAGTATATTAATAATGTCGTTGTGTGTATAGCGCTTTTGCTGTGAAAAGGGTTCGTAGTATTAATTAATTCAGCCACAACAGGTGAGAACAGGAACTCGACGACCACTAACTGTTTAACTGTGCACGTTCACACGTGTTTACAAAGTAAAACATCCGGTGTTTTTTTACCCTTTCAAAACAAGATCTCCACGTACAACGGCGTAGTTTTAAACAACTGTTGAATTTCAAATATTTTCAAAATAGTATGTTTTTAGTAATCTTTTAAAATGAATACTTTACGACCTAAAAGATTTTAAAAACAAATTATCTCTCTATGTTTAAATCTTTTTTTATTTTAGTCCTTTCTAATTTTGCAATGTTTTTAAAAGCGAATTATTGTTTACATGTTCCAATTTAATATGTTTTAATCTGGTTTTAAATGGTCATTCATAAATCATTACTTCATTAATTGTATATTTTGGGAATCCCAGGGACATAATCAACGGATTTTTATTGACTACATTATTATTATTATATACATATTATTTTTCTTGTAATCTTCATTGGGTAGAAATGTCGTTGTTTGCTTACATCTATTTTTCAATTTATTTTCTCATTTTGTACTTTTTTTGTAATTTCATACGTTTTACTCCTGTAAAGCCCATCTAAATATTTTAATATAACAATCAGCTTTTCAATACTTTAAACAGTGTTTTCTTTATTTCGTCTAATTCAGTTTTTTTTTACCCTAAGCTAACATTTAGATATGGTAAAAATTGTCAAAGCTGAAGTTATTTTTGCAAAGAATATACTATAGAGACATTTTAATTGTTTAATCAATTGTGTAATGTAAATGGTTAATAGTATAGGGCCTATAGTATTTAAACCTTAATTGTTTCCAATTTCATCTTTAATTAGGCAGCCTAATAATTAAAGCTAATATTGGAAATGGTGCGTTCAAAAATATTCTTCTATTTTTTTCCTTTGAACAAACATTTAACAACATGACTCTGACGTGATGGTAATTCTTAAATTGCATGACTGTATTTAGAACGTTCTTTTACACTTTGTACTACTTCGTTTTGCTAATTCTGGGACCTCTGGTTAAATTGAGAAAAATATAAGGTTTTTATTCAATTGTAGCGCCGCTCAAGTTCCACGGAACACCGTTGGGGGGA